TGGAAATTTGAAATTAAGCTGACTACTTTGTTCAACACGGAATGACCACAGCTAGATGCTACCAGTTTGCATGTAATTACGTAAATAATGTCGGAGATAAGTTACATGGATATTATCAGGTGTTACGGTGAAATGAATGATTGCTATCTATTGAGAATAAATATTGATGAATGAAATACCGGGCTTATCTTAGTTCACGGTAATAACTCGCTATATTCTGCAGACATTCTCTTTTGGAATTTCTGTCCTTGGGAAATTCATTATGAAAACTTTTATGCTTTTACATTACATTGTTAAGGGAATCTATTGAAATGCAAGAATACAAATTCTGATAGTGCTACTCCGAATAATTTCGGATGTCAACAAATTTTAAACGAACTTTAACGAAGAAAACTTCTTTAAAGAATGTATGGTATTTTTGCTTCATTTAATAATCATTAGATTTATTAATTAAAGATTACGTAATGTTTGTAGAGATTTGTTTTAACTGCATTTATTCTTAAACATAGAAATTACGCAAATTTCTGGATAATAGTAAACTTTCTATACCAGTTGAACAAGTAGATTGTTTCTCTTTAATTTTCAATCTAAACTGAGAGTTAATTAAAAGTGCTGCTTTGTTTTTTCAACAGTCTTTTTAACTCCATCTTTTATACGCATAAGTTAATATTTAAGATAAAGGTATTATTATGCTTTTTCATTGTAACTCTTAAGTATAAAATATGGCAAAATTGTTATCCCCGAAAACATTTCGGCTACTTTTGATGAAAGCTAAGAATTTTTTGTTTAAAAAAAAGCATTAATTTGCAAAATAAATCCTCGGTATTTCAGAGATTACTAAATAACACATAAAAACGAATGGTATCTGAAATGTGAAATTTCATTATAGCAGCACTAGAAAAATACTTATCAGATAAATTATTGCATGCCATAAAATTTTATTTCTTTTTTCACGTATGTCTCTATTAAAAGAAACAAGAAAATTTCAGGAAGGAAAGTTCCTTAAGAATGTAAATGGCAAACATTTTAGAAATCGTTAGATTATTCAAGTCGCTATATCTACTAATTGAGTACCGCCGTCTTCATTTTAGTTCAAAAGATTATCTTGGCGGAGATTTAATGAGCTTAAAATAATATGTTTAAATTATAAAAATATGCACTTCGTGAAATATGCGCTCATTATTGTGACCCTCCTGCCAATTCTAACCATGAATATAAGTACCCATTTATAATTTGTGCCTAGTAATATTTGCTTACGGAGCATTATGGTGCGAAAGCAGGTTTTTATTGTTCTGTCATTTCTTGATGGTTTACATGATATTATACAATGCAAATACAAATGATTGTGAATATATAGAAATTTCTGGTTCGAGAAGTTATGCAATTAGAAACATGAAAAATTTTTATAATGATATTTGGAATACTAGATGGAATTAATCAGAGAGGTGCGTGGGTCTTTTGAAGTCTATTAAAGTTCAAAATGGTATGCAACCAATTAGTAATATTGATTTAAACCAGTTTTTAACTGGGCATGGAAGATTTCCCGCGTACCTCTCGAGATTTAATTTACAAAATTCAGACTTGTTGGTCATTGCCATCAAGTTGGTAACTGCAGATCAATTCTTGAATCATTGTTCCTTATTGGAAAATTTGAGAAAGAAATGTTTGGGGAGATGTCATGGAACTTGGAATCTTAAAAACATATTCTAAATGTGCAATGGATTTGATTAATTCTAATAGAGTTGAATTTGGAATATTTGTTTTTAGTATTGTGTATTTTATCTTTTGATTATATGTATTATATTCTCAGTTATGAGTATTTATAGGTTTACTACGAAAAATTTTGCAAATTTTTCTGTGTTACTGTTTTATTTAATGCATTGTGTATGATGTTTTATACATGCGGTATTTCGAGGGGAGATACAGTTGATTGTTTACATGGATATGGCCTTGCAAATGTTGAGAATCCTGATGGATTACCAGATTTAAATTATCGAAATTAATGGTGGTTTTGAGTTTTAGGATTTTGATTTTTAAATTTTAAATTTAATGGAATTTTTATATTTTTTCTTAAATTTTTAATTGTAGTTTTTGATTTTAAAATGTTCTGAAATTTTAAAGTTTTAAAATCTTTCTTATATTCTGTTCTTAATGGAGTAATTACTAAAGTTTTAATATGATACATGGCAGTCTTGGATTTTTCCAGTTTTGGTTATTGGCAGTCCTGGAGCTTCTTTTCTATGATTATTAAAGATAATTAATACATTTGAATTCAGATAGTGGTAGGACTATTAAAGTAAATTTTTAAAATAAATTAATAGTTTAAATAGAATTATGATTATACAAATAATATGCTATTAAAGTAATACTGTATGGAATTCGGTTTGACCTTCTGCAGGTTATTTAAATTGGGAATTCCTTGATGGCTTTGGACCGCCTGTGTGCCTGTTCCGAAAATTCATGTGAATGAATATTTCTTGAGAGTTTCCGCCATTCTGTTTGCTCGTGGGTTTTTAATTGTTTTTTTGGATTTTGAATGTTTGGTGTTGTGCTTCGTTGTTTGTATGTCTTTTCTTCTTTGTTTTTATTTTTTAGCTCGTTAATTAACCTCCAATTATTTTTAGTTAATTAGCTTCTTTTTCTCTCTTCTTTCCTTTTGTGGGGGTCGACCCTTTATAATCATATGGTCCAGTGGGACTAGGAGGATTGGGTCTTCCCTGTATTATGACTATTATGACAATGCAAATACAATAATATTTCATTATTGTGCTTTCTTATTATGATTTAGGATTAGGTTAAAACATTAGAATCTCTGACGGACACAAGAGGAAAAGTTTGCAATAAAGTATAATTTAGTGTATAGTAATAATGTTATTAAGTTCTTACTATGCGAAATTAATAGTTAAATTTATGGTATTATGATATTTGCTACTAGTTATTTTATGTATATAACGAGATTATAACTTTATATACATATATGTAGATCGACGCAAATATTTCCTGGCTCACATACGCGAGTTATTTGGCAACAGATTCCTCTTGCAGATATGTAATGCCTAAACTAAATAAATGAGTTTGAACAGTTCATTAGAGAGTTCGTACGCATTCTTTTTTGATTGCTTATTAAATGAGGTAACTTGTTAATTTGTTCTGAAATGTTTGTTTGTAATGTTCTGAAATGTTTGTTACTCAGTTTAAAACTGAGTATCGTTCTGTGATTAAAGTTTCAAAGAAACACATAATTTACATGCATAATGTTTTCACATTATCTGGAAGACGGAAACAGCAATTTTTGGTCTCAATTAAATATCCCATTTAGGGGGCGAAAAGGATGTTTTGTAGAAAAAGCGTTTTCTTGTCTGAAGCTTAAAATTTTTAGGCAAAAGGAAAACGAAGATTCAAAGTCGCCTAATTTACATTTTTTTAAGCATTTGCTTCCACAGAGATCCGCTTCTATCAAGAGAAGGGTACGGGAAAATACAGATCGTTCCTTAATTTTGTGCATAGTTGGTATACTTATAAGGTATTTCTCCCGCCTTCTTAGCATGCCTTCGTGGTGCAATGGTCAGCACGCTCGGCGCGTATTCGAGAGGTCCGAGTCCCGGCGAAGGAACTGCTCATTTTTCCGTTTCTTGCTTCGAAATAACTTAATGTTTCTACAGTGACACCCGAACTAAAAATAGGTGGTAAATCTCCCCCATCAGGATTTGGCGATTGGGTCTCTAATTCCCAGGCGACCTTTAAAAAGGGGGGTATATCAGGTATTTCTCCCACCTTCTAACATGCCTTCGTGGTGTAGTGGTCAGCACACTCGGCGTGTATTTGAGAGGTCCGTGGTTCGAGTGCCAGCGAGGCCATTGTTCATTTGTCCTCTATCCAGTATCAAAATAACATAATGTCTCTACATACTGATAATAACCCCTTAATTTAAAGACACCTAATATTTGTAATACTAGACGTTTGCGTGGTCAATGGCCTGAAATAATTATTATAAAGGAGGAAAAATATATAATGATTTTAATGAACAGAGATAATATAATTCAACAGGTCCAGTTAGTAATTAATAATATTTGAAATGAATTCATGTTTGTTGCTTTTAAATCGCTTAATTTGGTAATTAACAGCAAAATAATTTTGAAAAAAATTAAATATTTTACGCTTTGTTGAACGATAAGACACTGTCGCGTGGAAGATAAAAATAGTTTAATTTGGGCAATGGTAACATATTTCTTTCAAATTCTTGAGTTTGTTAATTAAAGTTTAAGGGCAAATAAACTGCATTTCACCGAATGGTAAGACAAAGCTTTTATATTGCTGAGTTTTTAGTTAAAAATTCCATAAATTCGCACAAAATATCAAATAAATTTAAAAAAAAATTCAAAATTCGAAATTTAGATTTTAAAGTGCACGTGTTCGTATATGCAGTATGTGTGTTCAAAATCTGCTGGCTCTAGGTGCTGTCGGGTTTCTACAATGCGATTAAATTCAAAAGAGGAATATATTGCCGGGTGGCAACACACTTCTTTTATATCCAGAGCTTCGTGATTAAATCTGAAGCATTAATATTTTACCCTTTGCAGATATGCGACTCAAAGTTTTAAAATTGCTGAGTTTTTAATCAAACAATTCATTAGATTCGCACAAAATACGGAATAAATAAGAAGCAGTTTCAAAATTTAGGGCGCACATATTCGGGCGGAGAATCACATGTGTTCAGAATTTGGTGGCTCTAGTTGTCCCTGTTTTCTCACAAAGGAAGGAAACTTACATACATACCCACATGTTTTTCATTATTTAATAACAAATTTATTTTAACAGGTTATCAATCAAGGCAACAGTTATTGCTGGGTACTGTGTATTGCTCTGTATAGCTTAGAAAAAAGGGCCAGAGAAATATTGCATTTCATAAACTGAAGAATAATGTCATAAATTATTCAGTAAATATTATGCCTACAAACCATGTTTTCACTTAAACATTTGAAATATTATCACCGTCTTACAACAAATTTTAATAAAATAATTTGTAAACTGCGGGAGCGATATAAGAAATGTAGACGTAGTAATTCTAGTTTCGATGATAATATTTTTATTATCTTACCTACAACGATATGTTCACAATTGCATTCTACACAACCAATCCTATCTTCGGTACAACAAGGAGAACAGTGGATTCCACATTTCGCATCAGATAGACATACTGGCTCCTTTGTGGCAGCACCTTTAATTCATTAAAATAATAACTATAAATTTCTTCTACATTTTAAAATCAAATAATATCAAAGCCTCTAGCAGCATGAGAAGTACAGAAAAAAATAATTGCGAACAAATAATGTTTCAGACATTATTTATAAATGGTATTATTCGAATTTTATCTAAATTTCTGAAAAGCAGTGAGCTTTACTTTCCTTTAACAACCCATACGAAATATTTTTAATAGAAAGTGAATTATGGTAATGGTGTGAAATGAAATTACATTCGAGCAAATATTTATGCTAGGTTTTAGCACAAGTTTTTGATTAAAGATTTTTAATAAATTTTAGAGAATTAGGCTCTGACTGCAGACTGAAAGAAGGAAGCCTTTCTATTCACATTCATGTTTCTTTTACCTACAGAGATAGAAGGTAAAGTATTTAACGCTTTAAAAATATTCAATAAAGAAAGTTAGATAACGAAGTTTTGGAGTAGTTTAAACATCAGATTTCTTTTCTAAAAAATAATTTGTTGTGTAAAACATATCTTCAAAAAATTCCATTTTTGTATCTCATATCCTCATAATGAGAAAAGAACAGAATCTAAGCGTTTCATAGTATATTTTTATGTATGATTTTGTTACTTTCGATTTACGGAGTAACCTTGATGATCGCATGTTTTTTGCCGATTCAGAGTAAGTAGTTAAATCTATATTTGACTATATTTTGCATGTGTGCGCTCTTCACAATTTCAGCAACTTGCTTATGTTTAAAAACATCTCAAGTATACACATTTATGTGTCATTCCGAAAATCAATGAGATAATGTTCGTATTAGAGTTATAAGGTATTGTCTCACTCTTTTCTGCATGACTTCGTGGTGTAACTGGAAGCACGCTCGACGCATATTCGGGAGGTCCAGAGTTCGAACCCCAGAGACAGCACTTCACATTTTCACGTTCCCGCATCGATATAACCTAATAACTCTCCAGGATAAGTTCTAAATCTACATGCCTCGAGGATATTTAACTTGTTATACACTTAAAAATGAAGAATCATTTAACAAAATGTTTCCGTAGTACGGTTTTTGACGAGTAATTAATTTCCTTTGCTAAACTGGTGTGCTATTTCTGATTTAAAGACGGTGAATTTCATAGAATGATCATATGGTATTATTAAACGTTTAAATGAGATGCTTTAGGAGTATGGTTTAAGAAAATGCGAGAAAGATTAGTTTGTTTTAGAGTACTTAAAAACCTTCTGTATTGATATTCAGCCCAGGAAACATGTAATCATTTGGGGAGATTAATAATTTGGATAAAATGAAACAGAATCATAAAAGTTAAAATATCTAATAGAGCGATTCATATTTTCTATCGATTATCCATATGTATTATCCGGTACAATATGTATATATACAAATGCCTCCCTCTTTATGAAATTTTTCTGCGAACAAACCTGTTCTCAAAGACTGAAATTTATTTGAAATTGAAATGCTTAGTGCTAAAAATAAAAAAGGTGCGCGATGTCATACAATGTTACTCTCTTATTTACGACGAAAGAAAAAGAAAACATATTCAAAGAATTTAGATACACAAGAAGACACTTCGGGAATTGGTATTGCTGGCCCAAGTAAGATGCCAACTCCTTCCATCACTCATAGAACCTTTTCATCACAAACATCCCCCTTACTTTTCAGAGGACGAGACAGACTGTGACTCACTTTCACCCATCTAAATAAAGATTCACTAGCCTCATCTTCACTCCATTCACACGTGTCTCAAAGAACGACAATCTAAGGTACGTACTGTAAAGTAATTCCGCCTTTATTTGTAATAAACTGTATTTAAAATTTATTATTTATTTGTTTTAGTATTTTTAATTTTTTATTTGGTGGCATTTACAGCTCTCATCTCACCGATTTTTAGGAGCTATCATTAGCGAACGTGGTAACATTTTACGAATAAATTCATAATACAAATGGTTATTGGGAACGTAAGTCGTTCATAAGATGGGAAGCGTTTGTACATGAATAATATGTATCACTTAATCAAAGTGGCAAAAGGAAAATGGCTTATGGGAAAAATTGTATACAGCATGATAAAATTTTCTGTATTACAGTATATTTGTTTTGAAAGCAGCTTAGGTTCTGCATAGTTTACGAAACATCGAGGTTTTAAAAGGAAAACAAAATGTTGATACGGTCTTCTGAAACTATTTATTGATACGGATCTTCGTTTTGTTCTTTTGATTCATTTAAAACTTGTTATTCTGGGAAAATTTCCAATTAATCGACTAAAATTTTAAGTGAGATGTTCAAAAATGAGACTTGAAATTTTTCAGTTGAACTTTTTGCGAGCGTATTTTAAGTCATATTTTGTTATACAGCGAATTTGCGTTTTCAAAATCTATGATTTAGGAATTAAGTATTTCCAAGATTATCACTTTAATTCTGAAGAACGTATAGCTTTTTCAATATTATTTCTTTTTAAGAACATACAATTTTCATTTTTTTGAAGAGTTTTAAAAAAGAAATGATAAAGGAAATAAGGTTTTCTTACTGAGGCATCTCTCTTGACATTCGCGTAATGACATGAAATTATTTAAATTGCCACCGCATCCTCCGAACATAAAGATTTTGCAAGTTTTTTCTTTTGGATCGTAGTAATATCTTTGCAAACTTCCACGGCAGGAGCCTAAATCCATGGGCTGGTAGCAGATATCAGGAACTAAAAACATTAAAGAAAAAAAATAAAGATTTAGATATGGAAATTTTGAAATAAGCTAGTATATTTTAAAATGATATATCTCCACTTTTATAATGCAGGTTTGAAATATAAAAAGCATTATATATTTACGTACCACAGAAATATTAAAGTATATCTTACGTTACTTAAAATTAGAAAAGGTAAACAAGACTATTTAAAACTGTCCCGCTTTTGAAGGGACTAGCATGGAGCTCTTTCTTCAGGGGAAAAAAAATTTTGAACCGAAAGCTCTTATTACTGATATAAAATATTGAAAAATAATTTATGTAATATTTAGTAATATTTTCTTTCTGATTTGTTTCATTGCGTGAGTTTAGAAACAATGCTGTTCGAACATTATATTGTTGCGTGCGTACAGATTATATTGTTCGTAATAGAATGACTGCGCACAGGTCCAATGGTAGGTTAATAAAATTTATTTTATCAAAATAAACGTTTCAAAGTTCTACAATTTTTCACAAAACTCAGTTAAATTCAAAACAACACCGATGTGCATTTAAAAATCATTGCATATCATAACGAAAAACAGGTACTTTACTCAATTTTCATATTTTTTTCAGATTTCTCTTAAAATTAAGAACGCAAATGATTATTAGGAGGAATTTTTCATGACGAGAAATAAAATTATTTTTAAGTTACCTGGAAAGTCATCTATTCTGAATCCCAAATCGTCCACAACGCAAGGACCTAGGAAAAAAAAGCACGTTAATTCCTTATTTTTATATGAAAATACAAAACGAAATATTTTATACACTTTTTTAATTACAAGTAATAAAGGTAGGTCAAATTTCTGGGTCAAATTCTAATTAAAGTACTTTGCAAAATAGCCAACAGTTTTTGCTTGGTTTAGGTAAAAGTAAATGAAACACATACAGCTACTAATTTCTGCTTGGTTTAGGTAAAATAAATAAAACACATACAGTTACTAATTTCTGCTTGGTTTTGGTAAAAGTAAATAAACTATATCTTGTGATTTATACATTTTTATTTAGTTTTTACTTTTGTTTAATTAGTCAACAAATGTAATTGAGAAAATTTTACCAATCATAATAATTAGTGGAATGGATATGCCTGTTGACCGCCAGACGTTTTCTCAAATTTTCTAATAAAACTGAACGCAGCCACACTCATTTCCTTTTCTACATTGTTTCTTTTCGCCAGGCGTAACGTAGATACAAAAAAGTTTCCCTTAAAAAGTCTTCCACGAAGGCATTCCTCCCCTTGGGCAGATAACGTGCTTTGCATTAATCAAATTAAACAAACCAAACCTAAACATTTATACATCGATTTTAGTGCAATACTTAAGATTTTATCATTGCAACTTACCAGAATATAGCTTTGCGCAGATGAGAAGTAGAACATGGCATTGAATTTTTCTTTAGAACTCAATCATATTTTCTTCTGTAGTACCAAATTAGATGAAGCAATGGCTTAAATGAATCTCGAATTATCAACATTATCATTTTGAAAATATTTCCCAAGTCAGGTAACAATATGCGATAAGAATTCTTCAAAAATGGTTTTCTCTCTCGTGAGAAATCAGTTTCATTGGAAGTCAAAAATTGTTTCAGCAAAGAGCAACATTTCTCGCCTCCGTCTTCATTCATTTTTCTTGTCAGTGTCTCACTTTCAATATAGGAGCTGAATTTTTCTTGAACGACGTTAAAACGTTCCCGCCTAGGAGATATTCAAAGCATTTTTTTTTTCATGAATGCTACATAAATATCCTAGTTTTATCAAAAAAATCTTCATTCACAAAATGTTCGGTATATTTATATTTTTTTTCTTTAAGAAAATTATAAATTTCTTCTCGCAGTTATATGAGATAACGCTTTAGAGCGAATTATGAGTCCTGTATTTTGACGCGATCATAAAAATTCAGAGAATTTACACTGCTGGCCACCGTAAATGCAACACCCTGAAGGAAGCATGCAAATAACATGAAATTTACAACATGCATTAGCGGAGGTGAGATATGTAAATGATTAGAATTTCAGCGCAGACGCACATCACGCGCCCCTATGGCGCCACTTCAAAGAGCTATTTAAGGCTTGAAGATTTCGATGATTTCAAGTTCGGCAATTGTGTTTTTCTTGTGGTTTTTTTTCAAAAAAAAAAAAAAATCAATTATGCCTCGTAGTAAACAGAGATCATCGTTTGATCGAGTATCCGAGTTTGACAGGTAAGGATAGTGACCTACCGTGACTGTGGATTATATTTTAGGGAAATCGGTAGTCGTGTTGGACGAAACCAAACAACTGTAATGCGGATATGTGACCGTTGGATGCAGGAGGGTACGACGGGCCGAAGTGTTCGATCGCATCCACTTCAGTGCACCACTTCACGTGTTGACAGCATTGTACGCATGGCAGTGACGGATCGCTCAGTCATATCACGAACCATAGCACAGCACATTCAGTCTGTAACGCATCATCCAGTATCTGCGCGTACCATTCGACGCCGTTTACAGCAGAGTGGTCTGTCCGCAAGACGTCCATTGCTTCGTCTACCCTTGACGCACAACCACAGACATCTCCGCCGCCTACGGTGCGATGAAAGAAGGATGTGGACGGCAGAATGGAATGAAATTGTCTTTACTGACGAGTTACGCTTCTGCCTGCAACACGACGATGGTCGGATTCGAGTCTGGAGACACCGTGGAGAGAGGATGCAGAATAGCTGCGTTATGCACAACCCCACTGGTCCTGCACCTGGTATTATGGTATGGAGCGGTATTGGATATCACTTTCGCACATCTCTAATACGCATCGCCGCTACTTTAAACAACCAGCGCTACATGTCCGAGTTGTTGGAGCCAGTTGTCCTTTCTTACCTTCAGGGCTTGCCCACAGCCATGTTTCAACAAAATAATGCACGACCACATGTGGCACGCATTGTCCAAGGGTTCTTCGTCAATCGCCATATTGAATTGCTTCCCTGGCCGGCTCGCTCTCCGGATCTTTCGCCGATATAAAACATGTGGTCCATGGTTGCTGAACAACTGACCCAGATTACATCCCAAACTACCAAACCAGATCAACTTTGGCAACGTGTGGAAGCAGCTTGGTCTGCTGTACCCCAAGAACACATTCAAAGTCTCTTTGAATTAATGCCGCGGCGTGTGGCAGGGGTGATCTCCAACAATGGCGGCTACTCTGGTTACTGATTCTGGAAGGAGCCACACTTCACAGAAGTCTATAAATTTAATCCTTTGATACTTGGTCAACATATTATCTACTAAATAAATTTTGTTGTGATATCTCTTGTCTTTCTTGGTGTTGCAATTTGGGTGGCCAGCAGTGTACTTCGAATAAAAGAATTTGCTCCAGTCTTCAAAGCAGCCAGACATAGAACCAGTACCATCGATACAGACACCGACGATTTTAATCCATACCAAACTGGTTTTGGAAATAAGAAAGACAAAGATCTCGAACAAGTCTTCAACTTTAGCACTAGTAGTGATACTTTTGTAGAATAGAAATTTTTACAACGTTATTGCCATTTATAAATCGCATGGAGCAACTCAAGTGAACATCATTATTATTGTCTATGATTTCATCCAACTGCAAGGTAAATTCCTAGCTTTTTAATTTTTCAATTGATTGATTAACTAGTCTGACGGTATGTGACTGTGATTCATAGTGCTATTGACAAAGGCACTTTGAAAAGTAACTTTCCAGCAGAAACATCAATCATATTGTTCTACAGCAGCTGGTGAAATGAGTTCTGCGATTACGTAAGGTTTCTTATGTTTTTAAAACTTATGTGTTACTTTGTAACATGTAACATGCTAACAAAGTATTGTTTAGTAATGATGCCTGCTCATAAATATTAAATACCTTTTTGTTGATTTAATTCTTTAGTTTCCTACTATAGTTAGGCGAATAAATAACTACGCTGGTATGAATGGTTTCTAAATGCCGTTTAAAAATTCGTATATTGTGGTGCCAAAACTTTTCATATACGAAACTCGTACATTATGACATCTCTTTGCTATTGATCTTCGTAGACATAGAAGAAAAATTTAAATATTTATAATGCTCTCATAATTTCGGTATTTCCTCTTCTTTACTCTCTTGCCGCTGGTTGATGATATATACTTTCTATTTTTATTCTCACAATACTTGTTGCTTCTGATCCAGTTTTGTAATGCATGCGGAATAAAATACTTCCAAAACGTTTCTTTATCACAAAAATATTCAATTGATACAATTCCTTAAAATTAATACATCACTAAAGCAACGCGAAACCACCAACAAACGACACACAAAATACCAGAAAATTCGGAAACTAGTAGAACATGGGACATGACATTCAACAGAATTTCTATTTACCATTTAGTATTTAATCATTAAATTCGCATCATATCTTTTAAATAGATGTCAAGTCCTATAAACGTAACGCACAAAAGTTTTCCCGGAACCATAAATAGCGATCATGATGTTGCTTTATCGCTCGAGTTTGGCCGATTGTTTGGACAATAAGCAGCGCCTCAGTTGTTTTAATTCACTTAGCATTCGCTTCGCTTTTGCTTATTTAACTTAGAGATATCGCTTCAGTTCAGTTTTCAAATGCGAAGATTCTTTATTAATATTGTACGATCGTGTTAGCCTGCGGTATCGCTAACAGAAAAAAGAAAACGTTTATGCACTGACATTGAAGTGAAAACACTGAATCACGACACTGAAATGAAAATGGAAATAAAATTAGGTAAACTGTAGAATATTTCGCTGTGTCCTTCGCGGAGAGGAAGTCACGGTTCCCCAGGGCGCCGCGGTGCGCAATTTGAAAATCATTACTTTAACCTATCTTATGGATTTTCTTTTCTTCTCTCTTTTGTTATCTTTTATTCTATTTCGTCTTATTCCTCTTCCTCTGAGCTCAATTTATTTCTTTCATAATATTCAAGTTAATACAAAACATAAACGAAAAGTACGTAAGATGTAAATGATGCTATTATGTTACGCGACTGATAAAATGATGATTAGGAGATAATCTAGCATTTTTAAGTTTACCACTTATAGAATTAGAATCTTTTAAGATTAACGATTTAATCTGCGAGTCTTAATTATCGATAGCTTCAGCTAGTCCCCGGTAGTCACTCAGATCGACTTCCTAGAACATTTTAGTTCAATTGCCAAAATTAAGTTGTTATTATTTTATTTAGGCAATTTATTGTTTTATAGTTTGCATATAAAATTATCGCTTATTTATGGAAATAGGCTTTTAAATTTGAATTTCACCACTGTGCTTGACCTATTCTAGGAAAAAAATGTTTTTAATTTGCACTTCTGCAGCTGAAGAAGACTCTTGCTGCTGCATCACTATGGAATATTACATAAATATGCATTTAGACTGACATGGAAATGTTATATATCTTTTATCTTCAATATATTTCTAAAGTGAAAAAGTTTGTAATGCAATTCTGTAAACGTATTTAATTTTTTTAATTAGATATATCATGAATTAAATGCCTTTTTGTTTAAATCAATCAAATTAAAAAGTGGAAGAATAATATTATTAAGAAGTTCATCTATTGCTTTTAAGTAATTTAGTTTGTTAATTAATAGCAGGCAGATTAAATATGAAAGAATCTTTAGTTTCCGGAATCGCAGAATTGTGATTACTTTTAAGTGTGTGTGTGTGTGTGTGTGTGATTATGGCAAAGCTTCGAGGGCTATCTGCCTAAGAGGAGGGATGCCTTCGTGGAGGACTTTCTAAGGGAAACTGGCTCGTATACACGTTACACATCGGGAAAACCACGATTACTTTTAAGAATTACGTTTTTCTGAAAGGAGACTCGAATGGAAAATGAAACAATACATTAAAGCGAAAAAATATATTTGAAAAGTGAAAAAATTACATTTTTTCACTTTTCAAATGAAATAATGAAATAATAAATAGAAAAGAATAGAAAAAATGAAACATTGGGTCATTTACCATTGAGTTCAATGGGATTTGACGCGTTCGGATGTAAATATTTTGTAATTACGTCGTAAATATACATATAAATGTATATATTTTCTTTTTCTACAACACTTCATAGTCCTAAGTATATGAAAACAACATATTTTTAAACAACATTTCATTCTGAACGGAATTAAATGCTATACTTTTTACAGGACAGTTTTCTCAGAATGGTTTAATTTGAATGAAATATTTTCACAAGTTTTCGTTAATTACATTAGAAAAAAAATTAAGGTAATTCGATTTTATTCGGTTAAGGTACAAAAATTAAGATCAAAGTTTATTAAGTAATTCTTTAAAAATATTAAATGTTTTCAATCAGTATACCATGAATTAAATTCATTTTTATTTAACTAAATCAGATTCAAAAGTAAAGGGGAAAAAAAAAAAAAAAAAAAAAAAAAAAAAAAAAAAAAAAAAAAAAAAAAAAAACATTTTTTTTAAGAAATGCATTTATAGTTTTTAAATAGCCTTAATATGTTCATCAATAACAAGCGGATTAAATTTGAAAGATAAATAAATATCTTAAATTTTTCTGAATAGCAATAGAGTTGAATGAAAAGTTAAAATCACTTCGCAAAATCACGCATCAAGACTAATAGCCCTTTTGGGCTAAAAACTGATTAACATTGCCACATTTACCAAAAGAATAGAGTAATAAACCTAATTTGAAAAAAGGCATATAAAGGTTTAATTACAATTATTATTACTCGCTATTATTAAATTTGTGGGTTCTTCTTTTTCGGTTTCAATATACATTAATAATTTGACACGATAAATTATTTAGCATCAATATCATAATTTTGCTTTTTCTCGCGAGTTGCCCTTTATAAATATGAATAATTATTTTATCGATGATAATATAAATCAGTAAAAATGAATAACAAAAAATAGTGACGAACTTACCTACAACTCTTACTTAAGATCTAAGTGGCTATGGCCCACCAGCGGCCGAGCGGTAAAGTCGCTGAACACTGGTAGTTCGGTCCGAGGTTCGAATCCCGCGAACGGGCTGGCTGCATGGGCGTTTTCGTGGTTTTCCCCATGTGTAACGTGTATATGAGCCAGTTCCCCTTAGAAAGTCCTCCACGAAAGGCATCCCTCCCTTTAGGCAGATAGCCCTTGAGGCTTTGCCATAATCACACACACACACACACACACACACACACAAAGTGGCTATGTTGTTTACTAAAACTGATCAACTATTATTAACATGGTTGTCTGGCGCATTTTGAAAAATTTAGCGATTTCTACTATACTAATTGTGAAAGTACCTTTAAATTTTGTTGCGCATTTTTAAAAATATGTGTTATATGCAGAAGTTTAATCTTGTATAAGTAAGTATAAAATACGAAGGGTGGTTTCAACTTTATTTTCCTATTTATTTCTCCCAGTTAAGTACTTGTAAAACTGTTTACAAGTAGAGTTTAGAAGTGAGGAGTAGGATTTTGTGAAAAAAAAATTTTAACAGTATGGAACGAAGAGAAATTTAACTTTTTATGAGTTTCATTTAAACAAAAATTCTGATAGTAAGATAATCACTATGCTTTAATTAATTGAATACAGAATTTCCATACCTTTATGCAAAATATTCGAATAAAAAACTTAAATAATCCTTTCACGGAGCAAACTACAAATACAACAAAAAAAAAAAAAATGTGTCTTATCGGAAGCGGAACTATGAATCATCAAAACCCAGCATTTTTTTTTTTTTTTTTTTTCATCTATTTCTTGAATTTGATGCAAAAATCTGAAATTTCCTACAATAAATTCTTTCCTGATCATCTTCGCGAATTTTGCATGTAAAAATAAGGAATTACTTAATTCATTAAAAATAATTATTATTTTATCATCTGTAATTTTAATTATAGAGAACCTTATAAAAAGTTTGATCTTATTTTTACAAAATAAAAGGTAGTGGAAATTCGGAGGAAAAACAGCAAAGAAAAAGGGTGTGGAATTTCAGTAGAAAAACAGGAGAATTTTGCATTGCATTATTATTTCGCGTTTTTTAACATGTGCTAATTCAATGTTGTCTTTAGCCTAAAATCATCTTTACTGCAAATATAAGATGTCTGCTTGCCTTCAGGCTTCTTTTGATAGTCATAATAAATTTCTCAGAATTTATGTATTATTTAATTCAGAATTTATGGGTTATGATATGTTGTTGTCTTATTTATATTGCATAGAACAATGATTGCCAGAGCCTACTCCAAAGAGAAGTTGGACTTCTATTTTTCACCCCCCCCCCAATTTTAAGGGAGCACTGAGGAGATCCGGTGGTCTCCCACCCCTCTCCCCTTCCACCAATTCCATGGAGGTAGGAAGTAAGATGGAGTTCCCTTAAACAAGTTTCTCCCGTAGCCTGCTCTGAAGCACCGGCGATCCCTACGTGGTGACCAAAACATTGGGTCATTTACCATTGAGTTCAATGGGATTTGACGCGTTCGGATGTAAATATTTTGTAATTACGTCGTAAATATACATATAAATGTATATATTTTCTTTTTCTACAACACTTCATAGTCCTAAGTATATGAAAACAACATATTTTTAAACAACATTTCATTCTGAACGGAATTAAATGCTATACTTTTCACAGGACAGTTTTCTCAGAATGGTTTAATTTGAATGAAATATTTTCACAAGTTTTCGTTAATTACATTAGAAAAAAATTAAGGTAATTCGATTTTATTCGGTTAAGGTACAAAAATTAAGATCAAAGTTTATTGTATTATTAATATTAAAATTATGCATTATTTCTTTTCTATTTATAGAGCTTCTTCCTAAAATACTTTCTTAAATATGACATGATTTTTTGGCTTCTGAGGCATCTTTTAAATCGAAAAATGTAAGTCAATTTATAATTAATGCTCTGTTCGGTTCATTTTAAATTAGAGAATTATTAGGAATTGGCGAAATACTTTAAATAGTACTTGACTTTCTCTGAACATTTCTGAAAGGGAATAAAATAAGTTTTTTTTCTAAAGTATTATTTAAAATTTGTAACTGAGTTATTATAAAATGTAAGGGGAATAATTCTTTTAATTATACTTATCAGATTTTTTTTTACCCTTCATTTCAATAGTACATATTCCAAAACTCTTCATTACTTTCTTAAGTTCTCATAGCATTTGCTTTACAATACCTTTTAACAGATTGCTTTTTCCAATACGAACAATTCTTGCTTTAAAAATAGTTTTATAACGTATTTGTCAACAGGAATTTCAATTTATGTTTACAATTCAATATTAAGGTTATTATATATTAGATAACATTTATAAATCATTATAAATTAGATACATTTAATAATTAGATTTCTTCACAGTACTTTCACAGTTGTTTATAAGTGAATAAATTCTTCATTTCAAATACATTTATAAAATAATTTAATGAATATTTTTGTATTTTTGTCAAAGGCAGATACATGCTTTTTGTAATAATATGCAACAATAATATATAGATGTGAAAAAAATTGTTTTATTTAAAACATTTTGGCGTTTGGAAAATAAAATAAAAGTAGCGAATACTCTATCAAGGGTGTTATATTTTTGAAATACGTTTGATACAATTTTAAATGGTACCGTAAAGGTATTTTTCATTCTTTAAGCATAACATTTTTGCTTAAAATATATATTTTTGTAGTTCCAACAGCTTAGAATTTTATAAAACAAATTCATAATCAAAATCGCGCTGTTGTTAAGTTATCGAAAAATAACCAAGATGTGATTTTTGCGTAAATGTCACTAAACTATACAAATTGCTATTATCCCTCACAATATGAATGTTTCTTTTATGCGAAAGTGTCCCTTTTTCAATTTGTATGGAACTGTCGTGTGTCGAAATACTATCAGAACCGTGTCAAGCGAGCTTCTGAATGTAAACAAAGAACACCCCATCTGGTGACCCAAGCTTCAAAGTAGTGCTTCACTTCTAGTGCCGACTGGCCCCTCCTTCTTTTCCTACCTCCATGACCAATTCACGCGAGAGGACTTTCGGCTCGCCGAATATTTAGAGTGCCGCCATGCCGCACCGACACTTTACATTTACAAACATCCATGTCTTCTCCGGGATACGAACACGGGCCCTTCGGTACCTTATTAGGCTCCCCCAACCATTATACAGTCTGGGCGATATGTGTTATGATGAAAGGATAAAATTACAGTTAAGCAAGGAAGGATTTATCAAGGAACGGATGTTATTTATATAAAAATAAAAGTAACATTAATAGCTACAGTTTATCTTATATAGTAAGCATAAAATTACATGTCTCATTTAAGTAACTCTTACCTACAAGGTTCCTGACTGTGAGTGTTGATTTTTGCACACAGGCCATTTCAAGATATTTCACTGCTCTGTTGTACACTTCTACGTCTACATGGGGTTTCCTTGTCCATATGGCCCCCAAAAGGCCTGCTGCATGGCATACTTCTTTCTCATAATGAACATGGTGCATGCAGGTATAAATGACTGCTATACTCTCGTAATCGGTGAAAAGTACACGAATGGTTTCTAAAATTGATGAAAACTATATTTTATTAGCATAGTAAAAATGAAAGTTTTATTACTAAACATTTAAAAAACAGTACAGTAATATAATTTCGACAGTACTATTCATGAATACTTTGCTATATTTAAAGAAAAAGTACCAGAAGATATGGAAGAAACCATTCACTATTTATATGGTAATGAATCTTTTTTAAAATACAGGGTGATTATAATTAAAGTTTATGTTTCAAAACGCTATAAAAAAAGAACCACTGATAAAAATGATGTGAAATTTGAAAGGAATGTTATTGAAAAAGGCGGAAAGCATATGGCAGAAGAAAAAAAATAGTTTCAAAAGTTAGCAACAGATGGCGCTGTAAGCGGCAGAATCATGAGGAGAAACGAGAAATGATTCGTAAAACAATGGCTAAGGTGGAAGTTACACATTAAAACGCATTGACAAATTAGAATTGTTGAATAATTTTATTTGCATGACTGTACATATCACATCGAAACGGACAAATCGGTTTCAAGAGTTTTGCGGCGACATACCGCATAAGAACCATTCATCAAAGAAGTTCGGAACTGTCGCGAGACTGGCGCAAAACATGTTCAATATGGCGTCCACCGTTGTGTGCAACAAGTTGAAAGTGACAAACAGCATGTTCCACAACGGATCGCAGTGTCTCCGAGGTGATGTTCAGAATGTGTTGCGAAATGCGTGCCTTTAATTCCGCTAAATTTGCAATTGGAGCACGGAACACAACATCCTTCAGATACTCTCACAGCCAGAAATCACACGGAGTAAGATCAGGCGATCGAAATGGCCAGGATGTAGGGAAATGACGGCTGATAATTCGAGCATTTCCGAAATGGCGCCTCAGCAGCTGTTTCACGGGATGTGCAATGTGCGGAGGAGCGCCATCTTGCATAAAAATGATTTCATCCACACATCCATGCTGTTGCAGACCTGGAATCACGTGGTTGCACAAAAGCTGGAAGAGATGTACCTACCTCTGACCAGTGACGGTTGCGGTAACAGGACCGGAAGCACCCGTCTGCTCGAAAAAATATGGTTGTAGGATGAATGATGCCGTAAAGCCACACCATACCTGTGACCTTTTCAGGATGAAGTGGTACGGGGTGGCGTTGCCAGTGGATTTTCTGTTGCCCATATTCGAACAATTCTGGGTATTCACGTATCCCTGTCAGATGGAAATGGGCTTCATCTGTCCACAAAAGTTTTCCACGGCCATTCATTATCCACTTCCATGCGAGCCAGGAATTCTAACGCAAACGTCTCCCTAGCTGTCAGGTCAGACGGAAGCAAACTCCTGCACATGGCAAATTTTGTACGGATAGCATTGCAAAATGTTTCGCATACAATTTTCAGCACCACGTGATCATAGGCCTGTCCAATGTTCGGGCAATTCCTCGTGCACTGCACGGTTGCACACCACCGGCCGAGCCCCTCCTGTAATGCTCTGTGGCCACTTCTTCAACTACCGTCGAATGCACTCGTTTTCTCCCTCTACCAGATTGCACATCAAACGAAACCTTGTCGTTTTCGAAATTTTTTGCATCATTTTCTTTAGACCTACGACACTCATTGGACCAACGCCTTCTTTTATACCCTTCAGTGTCCTGAATTTTTGCAGAGCTACTCTTGACAATCATCATTCTTGTAATACAGCTTTACGAGCAGAGCGCGGTCCTGCAGTGAAACACCCATGGCGAACGTCTGAGACGCGAAATGAGGAACAGCCTGGTACCTGGTGGCTTTATAACACTGAAATTTAACTAACATTTTAATTTAAGTCTTCTTTCGCTTGCAGCGCCATCTGTTGCTAACTTTTGAAACTAAATTTTTTCTTCTGCCATACGCTTTCCGCCTTCTTCAATAACATTCCTTTCAAATTTGACGTCATTTTCATGAGTGGTTCTTTTTTTATAGCGGTTTGAAACTTAAACTTTAATTATAATCACCCTGTATAATGCACGACGTACTGTCGAAATATGCGAAATTGAATTGCGATTGGGACTAATGTTTTTCACTCATTTGATAGATAATTATGATTTACTTAAAATTTCATTCTTATTTAGAGTACTAGTATCCTATTATGTTTCATTTAAAACTGAATATCAAATTTAATCAAATCGCTAACTATAAACTAACCGTAAACTCACTTATTACAAAACGAATAGCTGAATATTCATAAGCTTTCAAACAGAGCAAAACTGCTTACAAAAAAATATGTTATCTTAAAGCTAAGATATCCTTTAAATTTTCGGTATTACCTCCGGAATAATTCAAATTTTCAATAGAAAATATTCATATGTTTATGCTCTTTTTATTATAATTCGTATGTGTAATGGTTTGAAGAATGTAATTGTAAATATATATGTGTAACAGAAAGCGTATTTTTAAGGGAACGTTGTAAACATCTAGTAATGTAATAAAAATTCTGTATGATGACAAAAATCAGTGTTGCGACGGGAACTCGCAAAACTGTCTACCCTGCCGGCAAAACTGTCTACCCTGCCGGCAAAACTGGAAGGAATAATATGGAACGGTTTCGAGTACGAATGAATATAATGCTGAAACTTCAAAAGCTATCATTTACATTTTATTTCGCATTTCTTTCGCAATATCAAGCATGCATTTGTATTGCTAATTCTTTGAACTACGCTCATGTTCAAAGTTACCCTTAAATGCATGAAATCAAGAATTTCTTAGAAACTGTGTTTCAGATCTATAATTTTATGAGTAGAGTGATGTGTAATATCATAACACATAACTATGAAGAAAAGAAACAGCACTGCTTAAGATATAAAATTTTAATATGAAATGGCAATAGTATATTACAAGGAACGTTAAAAAAAAACTAACTCAGAAAAATATAAGGCTTATGTATTTAATACTAGAACGTGGTCTCCCGTGTACACATATCACAAAATTTTTTCATGCTTGCGATAACGATGTTAAGCTTCGTTTGTGAAATTAAGTTCCCTCCGTCCAGCAATACGGTCTTTAAAGCATTTACATTTCTAGAAGAAGTATGTCTCTTCTAGAAAAAACTACTTTCTAGTTACTAGACTACTTTTCCAAGTTAGTCCCATAAATTTTCTGTCAGATTAAGATCACGAGATTTTGATAACCATGGCATTCGCTCAATGTCTTCACACTCAAGGAATTTGTCAAGGAATCAAGGTTCTCTACTCCTTTGAATGTCACGGTATTTCAGGGAATCGAGTTTTGTTCGATGTGGAAGAGGTGTATTGTCCATAAATAAAAAGTCAGATCCATAAGCACCTTTGAAAAATCTTAGACAAAGTTCTAAGACCGCATACCAGATATCTGTGGTCTGTCGCAGGTCCTTTGTTAAAAACGTATAGGGGCGTAGATTTCGCGTTCTGATTCTCTCCAGATGTAAACACTATTAGAATTAGATGTTAAACTAAACTATGACTCACTAGTAAAGGGAACATGGGACCACTGGTGTTCTCTCCAGTTCTGATGTCTTTTGGATCAACGAAAGCAATTCCTCTTTTGTTATGAAGACTTTAAAACATACATCCTTGGATTCTTGGCATAAAGGTTTTCCTGTTTCTTATGACTTCTGTATGCAGTTTTCCGTGATACAGCAGTTTCAATAGTGACTGCTAGCTGTTAATATAACTGCCGCGCAGTAAAATTCCTGTTACGACGTGTGGCTATTTCCAGTTATTAATCTTGAAAAGCAGTTGGTATTCATTTACCACCTTATCCGGGCCTTCTTACAACAGTTCCAAAGTTCTGATATCGTCTCTAGAGCGTAGAGACTGTCTTGAAATATTTACACATTTTACCGCCCTGCTTCTAAACAGCCGATTATTCGCCATTTCATAGATACTGCCAAACGATACTTTAGAGGCACAAAAAACCGTTTTGAGTCCTTACATTTTGAAATCAAATACCGTACTGCAGAAACTCTCACATTTTCATTTTGTGAAAAGCTCGATTCATCGTTAGATGACATAACTCCTTGATTTGCATACTAGAAATTGCTTGATCATTTTTGGTTTGATAAGGCTAATAAGGCTTGTCTTTCACACATTCCCTGTAAAAATGGATTACATCGATTGGATATTTCATGGAATATAATTATTTTTAGGTATGTAAAGTTAAGTTTGGGCTGAACAATAAATAGACAACCTTTATAATTCCTTATATTTGGTCTAATTTTGCATTTGGAATTTTCACAATAAATCCACGATGGTTTAATTAATTTGTAAAGGAAACCGAGGGGCAAAACATTCTCAACCATCAACTGAGATAATGGTTATGCGACTCAACAGAAAATATTATTTGAAGCCTTTTAGTCTGTTCTAGAGGTTCATCTCACAATTGCGATACCGATGTGCATTCGCAAATGACGCAATCAGGAGACTCCCTATTTTAAATCCAATTTCTTGGTCTTCTGGTTAATCTCCGAGTTTCCTAGATTTTTATTTTATAAAACATTTTTAAAATTTCAAGGTCGTTTTATATGCTAGGCAACTTATATTCGAGCAGTATGGTTTTACATTTTTGTCCGGTACAAATATTATCTCTTCCTGATTAACTTCTAAAATATTTCTTGTTCATGCTCCTAAAAAAAGAATTAATATTACTGTTTTCATGCAAAACACGAAAAATATCCGCAGATATTCGAATTCAAAAAATTCTCTGAATTTCGATTGAAAATTTTAGAAGGACTTAATGGCTTGTAATATTTGTTCGAAACTGTGTTACAAAGTATTATTTTTCATTTTAAATATACGCCATTATTTATTTCTTTGCACATCAGAAATAAGAATCTACAATCAAGATATATTTTCGTTTCTTTCTTTTAATTTTTTTCGTTTCTCATGAATGAATAATAAGATTTTCTAATTATTACCAACAAAAATTACAAGAAGTCCAAATCTAACATATTTCTGATAAGATGATATAAAATTTTATGATTATCACAGAAATATTACTGAAAATATCTACATACCATCAACGTGTGTAGTATATGTCTGATATCTCAAATTAAGCATTCCTGGAGGTGATTTTGCTGGAAATATTTTCCCTCGGATTGGCCGGATACAGTGCTTATTACTAAAAGTAGAATTCTCTAATTAATGTTACATTTTTAATAGCATTGATGTTAAACACGACAGTACAATTAATTCGTTAATTTGCTAACTGTTACCTAACTTTAATAATAACTTAGCAACTAACTTTGGCATAAATTTTAAATGAAACTAACCTTTTTGCCTTATACGATACATTCGTATATTATACTATCCATTACAAGTGACTTTGTATAATTCCATAAATTCTAGAATATTAATAATAAATGATTAACAATATAATAACTAAGTAAAAGATTGTGTATTGCTATTGCTTACGATTTTGAAACTTCAGTTTTCGTTCAATACTTAAATTCTAGGATGTGCTTTCTAAAATGAACTTTATATTGACTAACTTTATATTGACTCTGATTTGAGGAAAGTGTTTAGTATATTTATGAGAAAGATATTCTTTTGAAATGTCTAAGAAGATATTTCTGTAATCAAAGTCAGTCTCAGACCTTATTCTACTTAATTTTAATGTTAGCTTTTTTCTCTTATATTTCCTATATATACGTATTCCGACTGACTTCAATTTTAGCGTGAAATATAACTCAGTTTGAAAATATTATATGTATAAGGGAGAGTTAAAATAACACGCGGAATAACAATTGTTGGAGATGATGATGATGATGATGATGATGATGATGTCGTGTCTATGACAAAGTGCAATTATATAGCTCCGAAGCTGACAAAGACAGCTTTTGCAACCTCGGCAGCTCTATCAGTATAAAGTAGGTCCACTGGGTCTTCAATGCCGATGCTAAACAGTCTGGCCTGGATTGCTGGGCAGCTGAAGATGTGATGGCGAGACAGTGGGATGTCATCTGGGCAATGAGGACAAATGTTGGTGTAACTACGGTGTCGTCTGCAGAAATCCTCATCCCTTTTAAGTGATTTGTCCTAAGTCTGGCTATGATAGTCGATATGGCTCTGTCACAGTTCAATTCCGGGATGGAGTTTACTTTAAACTTGACCGATTAGTCTTTGGCTGGCAACTGCATTGGCATCAATTGTTGGAGATGTTAAGGCAAAATGGATCGACGTAATATTCTTAAATTTGCAGGACTAGTTTCGAATGTTTAAATATAGAAACTTCTTCAATATTTAAACCTTCTGTTACGAATTATGTACACAGATGGATAATTTAGGTGAAACTATATGTGAAATTGTTGTATTTTTCTGTATAATATAACATGAAAAGTTTGCGAAAAACGATGCTCTGCCGGAAAAATAGAAAACAGGGGCAAGTCTATTTAACATGAAGTAAATGGCAATCTCCAAACTGGCAACGGTTTGAGCTACTAATTTTTGTCGCCAAATTTGGCTAGAAATCGCGAAACGTCGTCAAACTTGGCGACCATTTGATGACATTTGGGTCCGGTTCCTGTACAACTGTAGCGGCTGGGAGAAAACTATATAAGACTAGAGATAGCATCAGTTTCTCAGCTGTTAATTGTTAGTTCAGCGTGGTTCGGAGTATTGAGATATCTCCGTATTAGCTTCGCTCTTCAGATGCACTTTGCATTGAGTTGTGCTTAACGTCCTTAGTAGTTTGAAGTGTAATTACTGATTGTACTCTGTGATATTATGAAGAGCAGTACGAATGTTTTTGTGGAAAATTACAGAACTGTGAAATGTTTCTTTTGGTAAAATAAATTTTATCAAGCTATAAACAGTTCTGCCTGTCTTCAATCTATTGCGAACCCGTACTCAAGCCACATTTCGAAACTAATCCTGAAAATTTATGAATATTACACTGATTATTTGTGCCTTCACACCACCAATAATTATATGTAAAATTTATGTATGTTACTTATTATATAACGCCAAGTTTCTATATTTTTGAAAGACATTACAGTTACAAGTAAAAGGTTTCAACAAAATATTGCTAACATAATCAAAGATTGGTGCATTATTAGAAAATGTCTTAAATTTTACATATCTAACTATACCATTAACTTCAATGTTTTATGCACTAAAATCTTCTGTATTAAAATATATTTCACGTAAAGTGATTTGGTTATAATTTTAAAAAGCATAGAAGGTACTGTAGAAAAATACTTGTATTTAAAAAAATGTCTATTGTATTTTCATACAAGCACTTGGAACAAAACTAAATCAGATGAATCTTTATATATATTATATATATAATTTCGTACACTGATATTCCTTTTATGATTTTACCAAGAGAAGAATGGATTATCAATGGTCATTTGAAAATTTCCGACATAAAATATGACATAAATTTTAGAAATGTTACAACGCAATGCTAAAAAATTAAAAAAATAATAGAGATATGAATGATAGGAGTGCATGAAAAAAATTTTCCAATGTTAATGAAAACAAGGTTAAAGGTTTTCACAGTTATAACAATGTTAAGGCAGAAATGTTTAGTACTTTCTATTCTTCTTTCTTTCTGTACATGCTGTCTTCAAGAAAAATGAATAAGCTTCGCATTCTGAATTAATCAGATATATAGATAGATGTTCTGGCTATTTTAAGCTTGCAGCACAAGTGTCAGATAACAAGCAATGTTGAGATAAGTTCTCCAAGTACTTATTACTTGCTACTTTGGCCTATGACTGCATACTGCATCTTGCTTATGTCTATGGAGTAAAGTTAAAAAGGTACCAGAAATTTGAACTTATAATCCAGCCATCAATGAGCAGTATTTTTTGGTAACTGAATTAAGGAAGACTAAGTGTGGTCTTTAGAGAGTATGTCAGCAAGAAAGTTTTTAATTGTTGAAGAAACTTGTTAGCTTGTAACTAAATTAATTCAGTAAATTACTGAAGTGTGCTTATTTTTGTACGTGCTTGCTTTTTGAGAGGCACTTTGATCAGGGTAATAACAAGAGAAGTTAAGTAACCAATTTTTAACTAACTCCACAATCGGAATTTGTTCATGCAAACGAAAATTCTTTCTTTTGTTCAATTTTTCTGTGACATCCCATTTAAGTCTTTCCTACTTCAGGCTTTCTGGAGATAGCATCGAAAATCGTACCACTTTACGTTTTCCCTTTCCCTCTGCAAGTGTCTAAAGAGAAAGCACCAACTCGACGCGGTAAGAAAATTCCCATTTCAGCCTTTTGATTCAGGATCACAAACAGTCCCGAAAATGTGATCAAATTTTATGTGAATGTGAAAAATATCACAATAACTCCCTGTCGCTTAAACATCACCTTCAAATAATATTTTTGAAAAATATTAAGGTTCTCTGGGGATGATATTATAAAACAGAAAACATAAATTTTTCTGTTTGATTAAAATTTTGTATTGTTATTTACACATATATTTCTGAACAATAATAGCGGGTGAAATATTTTAAGAATACTACACCTTAAACGAAAGCGAAAAAGGACAATTTCTTAGGATTGGGTTATTATTAAATAAGATTTAAAAAATACAGTTGTACAAAGATTTATGAAAATCGATGCTGCTTTATCAGTTTCTAATCAAACAGATTCATTATTTCATTTTCTCATAATTCCTATTTTTATTCTCTTTTAAAAATATGTATTTCATCACAGAGCGTACTGAGACATAAGTACAGAAATAAATCTCTCACAAATAGATTTCTGTATACACATAGCTCTATACATTGCTCTGCACATGTCCAAACGGAGTTAATATATCTACATGGTATTCAAATACAGTCTATGTTTGCCTTTCCAGTTAAAATATGTTGTCTTCGTTCACTTTAAAATACTTTCCTTTTTCGAATTTCTTTACTTCAATAATTTATTTCGAATTTTTAAAATATGCAAATCTATTAATAAATATATATTGTTTATGAAGTTCTGCTTATAAAGCATATCTGTCTATCTATGATTTGAAATCTTGCCTCGTTTAATGAAGAACACTGCGGGATAAACCTCTAAAGGAAGCTTCTAAAGCATATAGTGAAAAGATTTTCACGTTAATAAACATTCGATCGCCAGGAAGCACAAGCGATTTATACTAAGTTAGTGAAACCAGTTTTGTAAGCACACGATATAATTTTAAGCTACTGCACACATTATCTTTTTTATAACAATTTATTTAAAAAAATGAATTATTCCATTATGTGAAAGAAGGCTTAAATGGCACGAATTTAGATGCTTTTACCCAGAACACATGCAGAAGGAAAGAAAATATCCGAAGTGTCACGATTTTATTTGCCATCTCCAGAAAGCCTGAAGTGGGAAAAGGCTGAAATGGGACGTTTCAGGTCAATAATATCAAATACCAATACCGTTAGCATTCATATTATATCTAAAATGTGTCTAAATAGGAATTTTAAGGGCAGGATGGTCATCTTAATATCATTCATCATATATACTTCGCAATCACATCATAATCACATCCCATCGCCTTCTCACTTTAGAATGGATCCTGAAGCCCTTTTCATCTACAAACAAAATTCGAACTTTAGTTTGCTTTATCCTAGAGAAAACTATTCTAGAGAAAACGGTTGAAAAGGTACGATTTTCAAAAAAGCCTGATATGGAAAAGCTTGAATTGGAAAACAAGCCAATTTTCCCTTTAAAAGAAAGACGAGCATTTAAAAGGTCCTTAAAACATCTTCCGCTTAATAAAAATATACATTGAAAATTTAGCTATTTCTAGTCTTCAGACTTCTTCCGTTTTAAATTCTTTACTTATATATGTAACAAAAGTTTTCGTGTGATAGCATAGTTGCATGACAACGGAATTAATGTTTAAAATGAGACTACAATCATGGTCGGTTGACAGCTTCTTTTATTTTTCACAAAATATTTATGATGAAGGTGTACAGCTAAACCGGCACAGGACACACGTTCATTCTTTAACAAATTTTTCTATCTTTCACATTTTTGAAGTTAGCAAGAAAAGCAGCGACAGTAAACCAGCAAGACAAAGAAACGAAGCAGAAGTGCGTAGGTTTTATTTCAAGAAAAGTCAGTTTTGGCTTGGCTTCACTCCTATTAATTAAGGTTTCCCAGATTTTTAAATAACAAGCATTAATTTTAAAATGGCGCAGTTTAAAGATAGTTAGTTGTATATAAGCATGTTTCTATTTTTAGTGTAGGAAGAAAAAAGAGACAATCATTAAAAAAGGATACATAAGGGAATAAAGCAAATTTAAGTTCGAATTTTGTTTAACATATTTTTATGTTATATATTCCCTTTCAAAAGAAAAAAGTCTTTGCAATATGAAAGACTTTCCCAAGAAGAAGCATTAAAGGAGTAGAAAAATGAAAGCACGATATTGTATATAACCCATAATTTAGATTACATCTAAATTTTCAAAATATTATAATACAGCTTCAAAAATACAGACCGTAAATTTTGAACAAAATAATTTTTGCAAACACTTTCCGATCATTCATGTCATGTTGAAATTTCAAACATTCAGTCCAATTATTTAAAAAAAATCTGATGTGAACTCCACATGACATCCTTGCATGGCCTTTTCAATTATACATATATTTTGCTTCAAAAATAAACTGATATTAAATATTGTTTCATTCTTTGTCGAAAATTAATTTTTTTAAATTTAACATTATCAGAACATGAATATTTTCATCATTTAAAACATTTCTGTAATTGGAAGTATATGCCTACGACCAATGATTGCGAAAATAAAGACCGGATAAGATGGTTGAATATATATATATGTACTAGATGTTATAGCAGTCCCATATGCAAAATTTCAACGTTCTACAACTATTCAGTTTTGAGTTGTGCGAGATAGATACACGCATACATTCATTCATACGTACATACAAACGTCACGAAAAAAATCCTCCTTTAATCCCTTCTAAATCAATTTTAAAATTCGTTTTTGGAAAAGAGAGTCCTTTATTCTGTTCGTACATACAGATGTCACCCAAAACATCGTCCAAATGTATTCGGAAGCGGTCAAAATGGATATTTCCGTTAATTTATGACACCCACAATTTTTCGGCATTGCATACTTCTTTTACATTGTAAAGGAAGTAAAGAAAGGTCCTTGTTTTCGAAGTTCAAACGATTATCATGTTTGTTCAAGGATTCTCACAGATTACCACAAATATAGAAATTTTACATAACCATTACTTATTTCGATGTATTATAAAAAATCACAAAAATATACAATAATCTAATTTTCATATTTATTATCTAGACTTTAACATCATAAATAGTGCCATTTCTAGACCATCGGCCGCCCACGAGCAAAATTAAATTTGGCCGCCATTTTTTACAGAAATATAGTATGTTTGATAATAATTTCGTTACCCTTAAATTTGGCCGCGCACATGCTGTGCACCATTTTATCCCCCCGGTTAGGACTGGCTCTGATCAGAAATGCCATAATACCCTAATAAAATTATAGTTTAGCTCTTATTTATACTTCACATTCAGTTCTTAATTTTATACTAAATGAAAGCTCTACAGTTCTCTAAAATAGAAACATTTCGGTATTAAATTGGGCAAATTATCTTGAATTGACTGCTGCATTATTTCACAAAGTGATATTCAAGCAATAACTTGAAAAGGACTCCGTTCTTTGTGCACTGCTCAACTTTATTTTGTATTACAAAAAACTTCCCAAAAAATATTTAATTGAATTTGCGTGGCAACAATAGTTTGTGTTATGTTGGTGTAAGTTAGCATAAAATGCTGATGGTTCATACAGTTTAGCGTGTTTACGTTTTAATAAATGAACGCCATTCAACTCATCTGCATTCGAATATTACTTCAAGGCATTACCTTCCCTTATAATTATATAAGGTTTTGGTTTGGTTTGGATTATTTAATTACGGCAAAGCACACTAGGGCTATCTGCCTAGGGGAAGGGATGCCTTCGTGGAGGACTTTCTAAGGGAAACTGACTCGTATACACGTTACACATGGGGAAAACCACGAAAACGCCCCTGCAGACAGCTCCTTCGCGGAATTCGAACCTCGGACCGAACTACCAGTGTTCAGCGACTTTACCGCTCGGCCGTTGTTGGGCCTATAATTATATAAAGTAACTGGCCCATTCTGAACTGCATTAAAACAATTCATGTAAAACGCATTATGTAATAAAATATTACATTCATTTATATTGGTCGTAGCATTCACTGTTTTTTGCATAGGAGGATAAAAAGCACAATAAAGATATAAAATTACGATATAAAATTGATTTTGAAACAATACTCCCTGCATCATATTCTACGCTATACAATCAGTCATATCCTTTTACATAATTATAACCCTCATTCATCATAATTTCAAATAACTTTTTTTATAACTTTTTTAATTACATTACCCATACTCACTTTTATTACGCCGCTCTGTTTCAACCAGCAATAATGTACGAAAATCTAAATTCCAAGTGGCGCAAGCTATGTAGAAGTTGAAACTGTTAATGTGCAAGCCGATATGATGACGGAGTCTGCATAAAGCTGTAGCAATAATCATGGGCAATTGACTACTACTTAAATTGTTCAAAAAATTTTTTTTGATGCAGACAGCTAAGCCAGAGCAAGATATGTGACCGTTCTTTAACAAATTTTTCTATCTCTTGCAATTTTAAAGTAAGCAAAAAAACGGTAAGGACAAGACAAAGAAACGAAAAAAAAAAAAAAAAAAAAAAAACTCGTAAATTACATTTCGAAGGTTAGGTAAGACTAAATCAAATTTTTGTGACTTCATTCCTATTGGATAAGTAATGCTTTGGTTGGTAGTTTTTAATATTATTATTCGCTGAAATGTTATATAAATATCTGGGTCACTAGAATTATGTAAGAATCATACGATAAAGATTAATTGAATTTGCGCAAGTAAAAGAAATTTGTTATAAGAATGTTGCTATTTTAAAGACAGAAATGGGAAATAACCAAATCGAAAAGAAGATTTAAGAGGCTAGTGAAAATTAAAGTTAAAAACCTTTTTTACATATTTGTATCTTATATACGTATGTGTGTACAAAGAAGAACATCTAAAATAAAATCTTAATTTGAATTTGTAAGAGCTCCTAAGTTTCCGATTTAATTTTGTTATTTCCCCTTTTTGTTCTAAAAACAGTAACATGTTTGTAATTTCTCTCTCTTTGAACACTGGTATGTCAAAGTTTTATTAAATTTTCAAAATAAACTTTAATTATCTGACAGAAATTAAATAAAATCAAAGCTGTATGATTCTTAATCTAATCTTCATACTGGGAATGTATACATTTCTTCTTCATTCCTGAGAAGAAACAAAATAACATCTCTGCTTCATTTCTTTTGTCTTTTCCTTTTCCATTCCTAAGCTGTAGCTGCTTGTCTTTCTTACAACAAATATATTATTAAAAATTAAGGTAATTGTTAAAGAAAGGATGAACAAACTGCATCAATTTAGCTATATATTTCAAGAATGTTTTGTTAAGAATAAATAAGTGCTGAATAGGCAATTATTTTTTTAGAAGTGTATGTTTATGCACCAGTTACATTATATTCTACGTTTCCGCGCATCAAACTTTCATTGCACACACACACACAGACAGACATACTTCTTTACTTCTTTTTCCTTTCATTATCAATCAACAGAGTAAATGTTGCTAAAAAATGTTAAGATGCAGAATATAGCAGTACCTACTTGTCTCTGCCGCTGAAGAGAAACTGAGTTGATACGTTTGAACTTGATATTTTCCACATTCCATCATCAACGTCAATGTATCCAGATGCTGATTTTGCTAATTCATACCAGTCGCCAGAAAACTAGAACAAATCTTACATTATTCATCAAGTATGTTATTTGTTAACTAATTAAAGTTGACATCAGAATTATTTCCACATATTTTCCATAAACTGAACAGTAATTAACTTTAATCATTAATTTTATGTATTATTATTAATTCATTACTAATTTTATGTAAAAAAGCAGTATTTATGGTATCAAATTTATGAATGTAGTGTATCGTAGATTAATATTATACCTGTAAAACGTTCAGCAAATTTGAATTCAATATCTGACACAGATCACGAATGCACATAAAGGTAGATATAAAAGCCTCAATGTGCACTTTTAGCTTTCATGCGACATACAATGACATGCGAAACATATACTAATGTAAATAGCGCATTGACTCATAACTGATTAAATGTATCGTTTTCTGAATCTCAAAAATGGCTTTTTCTAAATAGTAAAGATAAAACAGAGGAGTTATCCCGAAATATTTCAATTTATGATAAAGAAGACATTTGATATAAATTAGAAATGCGATTTAAGAGTTTGCTTATTTCTGAGAGTGATTTAAACTCATCATATTAGCTTCGTGAAAACAATAAAAGTAGAGATTTGTTGATATAGACAGAAATAAAGAATATTGATTTTGTAAATAATTGGTTGTTTCTGTATAAATATTTTTGCAACAATTTTTGTACTGAGATATCGGTACAAATATTGATACGATCTGGATCATACTAGTCTCCAAGATTATAGCACCACTTCCATCTACCAGAAAGGAATGAAATAAAGTAAAAAAGAAGTATTTAAAGAGTTTTGTAAACCTTACAAATTCTTGAGGTATCTGGATTTGTCAAAAGACAAAGTCGATTCTGTAATCTAATTCGGCCTACACTGCTTGGCTCATATGAATGCAAACTTTCGGAATAAGCAGATGCACAAACACTTAGTGCTTATTATAAATTGAGTTGCCAAAATACTAGAGACAGCCACTTTTTTCAACAAGGATCTTGTGATATGAGAACAAAAAACTGCTTAGACAAGGCCGCTAGTCTTGATAAGAAATAGTTATTACAGAGGTTAATATAAAATTGACTAAGACGAGAGACTTGAAAGCACTTCAACGAAGTATGATGGCTAAATGCAGGAACACTTGGTTGCTGAAAGATCTAATATTCTTTGAAAATCTTAGAAGATCTAATGTTCTAAGCTTTTCTCTTGCAACTGCATTTCGTGTCTTCAGAGAATGGTAGTTGAGCAAAAAAACTTCAGATAGCAAGGACAGTTCTAGTGAAAAGATGCTGGTGAACGAAAGAGGGAAAAGTATGATTGGCTCGAATGATTCAAAGCGACCGATAGGGCAAAAGCATGATAAATTGCATCTGAAAAAATTCATCAGAAAGCATAGCTGAATGCACAACATGACGGACTTTGTAACGGATGGCTCTTAACAGAAGGCCATCAAGTATGGCTATGTTATTTCTGAAAATTAGGGAATCGTGGTTGTTGTAGACTCAGGAGCACCAAAATTGGACCCTTAACTATTGAAAAAAATTGCTTTGTCCGATGTTTCTAATTTCCTGTTCCATCATGCAAATGGCAGAGTCAGAATATGGCGTAAATAATACAAATTCATGAAAAGCTAGTGACCGCAGAATTATGATCTACCAAATATATTTTCCTGGAGTACAGTGGGTTTTTTATTATGTCTAAAAATAGCTTTCACCACCACCATCGTCTTTCCCGATCAAGCACATTCGTTTATGGCTACAATGTTTCCTGATGCAGAAGATTTCATTCATCAGGACCGTCTTATCCAAGCACGATTAGTCTCAAACTGGTGAAAGGCATAATTAGGATTTCAAATTGCTTCCGTAGCTCAGATATGTGACTCAGACCTATTCAGTATTATGTGGCCCAAAAGATTGCTTCAAAGCTTAAAAACGCCGCCATCCAATCTGAACGAAATTAGAGCTGCCACTATACTGTTATGAAGAAAAAGTTTCGACACCAAGGTTAAATAGTTTTACTTCTAGGTACCATGTTATATCTGAAATTCCTATATTGTTAAATGTTAAATATGAAACTACTTGCCGTTAAAGGCAGTGATCGTATAGTGAAACGTGTACAGCATTTTTGCGTTGTGAAAAAAATGCATTCCGGGACCGCGCCGTGAGAGGATCGAAAACATAAAACATATACAAGATATAAAGGAAAAGTTCATATTAAATATATAAAAAAAAACATACTGTAAGAGGTTCCAGATTAAATATCAGTTTATTCAATTACAACACAATAAGAAAAATCTTAACCTCATCTGAGAGTCTGTTCATTTAAATTCATAAAAAAAACTTAAGGTTTGTCTGGTGATTTAAAAGAAAGGAAAGGGAAACAATTTAAGGCCTGAGAGTTAAATTTTAGATTCGACGTTGTTTTTTTTTATTGCTAAGGACGTTTTTGAAAAACTTGCCTAAAGTTCAAACACACCAAAAAAAAAAAAAAAATAAACTTATCTTGAGGGGACATCTTGAAGCGGAGGACTCTTATCTTATCAAGCGTTGATGTCGGCCGGGCTCATCTTGACACTGGTTCTAAAAATGTAGACTCCACTTCACTACTGTAGAACAGAAACAGGAGCACTGCTGCCCAGGACGGCTATCCGCTTGGTCCTGAAAGTCCTATGTCAACACGCAGGTAACTCGTTCAAATTTCGCCTCTTTACCAGCACGCCGCAAGGAAGAGGGTTTTCAGCTCAGGTCAGAAACGTTTTTTTTTCTAGGCAATTACGGCTCGCCTGTTCTTACTCATCCCAAGAGCAAGCTTCACGAGTAACGTCCCAAGTAAGTTCCACCCACCAGTCAGTAAGGGAGAGAATCCAACTCCAATTTTCTTCAAGCCAGTTTTCAAGAGCAACGTCCACAAGTCCAGCAACCCGAAAGTCCGCGAATCCAAGCGTGAGTGCCTAAGCGAGTCCAAGAGTAAGTGTGTAAGAGAGTCTCGCCTCTTAACCAAAACGCGGCCGGGGAGCATATTTGCCGCTCCCCGCCGGAAAAAACCTCTCGGAGTCACTTACATTTTGTCCAGCAAGCCCAAAAATCAGCGAGTCAGTCCGAGAGTCAGCCAAAAGTAAGTGTGTCCAACTCAAATTTCCTTCTTGTCCTTCACCAAAACGGGCTCCCACTATGGCTTCACTTATCGCCCCCTTAATTATGGCAAAATCTTCGTTTTCAACTCCAGAATGCGGAAATAAGGGTGATCGCGCATGCGCGCCCTTCTTCACTTAGCCAACAACCGGACCCTCAATCGCCAAAAACCTGAATGACTTACATTGAAAGACAAGTAGCAACCTTTGACCTTTCCGTCACGTACTTTCCTCTCTTAAGGTCAACTAACAATGAAAATTCTTTCTCGAACATTCTAAAGCGCGCGAAATCATGACTTGGCGAAAATTGCCTCCCTTTCCCTGCTTCTTTCACAATGAATAAAAGTTTGTACAAGATTTGCAAATAAAAGAAAATAAATAATATTCATTTATAAACTAAATAATATTTCCCGAAGCATCTGTTTCTCCCCAAAATTAAAGCCTTAAATTAAATAATTCAGAATCAAAATAAAATTTAAATTTCCATAAATCATAAAATCATTCACCTAATTTTTATAACGCTATCCGGTAATTTCTCTACATAACAATACCAGCAAGGGCTAATATTCTCATTAACTTATCAGCATCTTATTGAATTCATGTCCAGAAGAAAATTGGCTGTTATTAAAGCTAAATATACCTGTAAGCGTATCTCAAACATTTTGGCTATTTTTTTTCCAATGGCGGGCACTTGCCTATAACGGCATTGGCCACTCCTAAGGCCAGAAGAGGTGGCCATTTTATTGTGGAGGCACCTAATAAGCAGCTACCGTTGCCTCCATGCCTTCTCCGGATTTGAACCATGGGCCTTTCAGTATCGCAGCCAGGCTACCCTAACCACTATACCGTCTGGGCGGCCATTTTGGCTATTTAATGTAAGTCACATAGCATGCAAATCGATGATCCAGATGGCCAGGCGCTATGCGATTGATCATTCGTCGACAGATGAATGGGTAACTCGAAAACGACGAGAAAACATTTTTGAAATTCGGAGGGAGGCATACAATCGTTTCATTTAGCCGCCTCGAAATTAAATGTATTATCAGGCGGATCTAGCGATTTCTCTCTCTTATTCATTCAGTTTTCAATAACGAAGATATGGAGGTAATTGCATTTAATTGCAAAGTAAATGCAATTACCTCCATATCTTCCGTATAGTCCGTAACAAAACGCCTTGGTCTTGGTCCAAACAATGGATCAAACATGGGTTGAATTGAATCGTAATGTAGAATACATTTACGTCGCGAAGAAAGAGTAAAGAGACTACTTAAGAGGTATTTTTAGGAAAACAACTTTGTGCAGTTGAATAGAAAACAAATGAAGAACTTCAAAATAAATATTAATGTAAATAAGTTTGAAATTATTGCTGACTATCATTTGCTGGAATATAGTCCAATTTTATCAAAATGTTGTTCAGCAAGTATAGTAGAAGTAAGAAAGATTGTGAATGACATAGTTTCTGCTCAGTTCTTGTCGAAGATGTGGTTGGTTTAGTTGATTATGGCAAAGCACACTAGGGCTATCTGCTTAGGGAAGGGATGCCTTCATGGAGGATTTTCTAAGGGAAATTTGCTGCTCGTATACACTTTACACATAAGGAAAACTAGGAAATCGTAAATATAGTCAGCCCGTTTGCCTGGAAAAGAACCTAGGCAGAAACCACCGATGTTCAGCGATTTTACCGCTTGACTACTGGTGGCTCGAAGATGTGGACAAACCTCTTCTTCTGTTCTTCTTTCGTCGAAACATTCTAACTTTAAGTACTACAACTCTTACTGCCGCTTTATCAAGGCAAGAATGTTTTGACAAAGTTTAACTGAGGTTTGAAAGAATTTTCAATTATTAGGCAATTTCAAACCATAAGGAATTATCCCTTTTTCCCGTGCGTGA